GTCTTTTTCTTGCAGTTACATGCTTAGAATAATGAAAGCTAATGATTCTAATCATTAAATTAGTGCTATTACATTACTAGACATGAGAATAAAGGATTATTTCCCCCTATAAAGGAATGGATTTAACTGCAACTATGCCTCTAGTGACGTCATGTTTAGCCACACCCACTGACAGGAAGTAACCTGGCAGGAAGGAAAAATAGGCATTTTTGAAGGCTCATATCTCAGTGAATAATTTTTTTCAGACAATGGGAGTTGGAACACATCATTATTATGGTCAGGCAATCATATTAAGCAAATAAAAAAAATACCTCAAAAATGCATTGAACTTACCCTTTAATTTTCACAATTTGCTGCTTTTTGGCCATGTTGAACTGTACAATTTTGCAAATTTTATTTTTTTAAATTTTGAATAAATTGCAAAATTCATGAAAATTTTGGGCCACAAAAGATCTAGCTATACGGTAATATTTACATATCTTCATAGGTTGAGAGTTATGATCAGTACTGTGATGAGGATGAGGATCTCTTGTTAAGTGTCTCCATGCATGAGAGCATTAATAAAGCTAGCCGGGGTCACACTGGGAAAAAGGTTCCATATTTATTATGTACATTACCCACCATGACCTGGTGTTTTTAGACTATCAAGCCGACGTCCACATCAACCCAAAGTCAAAAAGACCAAGCAAGCGAAAGTATAATAATAATTATAAAGATAATGATTCATGCATTCCGCTGGAATTTTGTACAGGTGACAACCACTCCCCTAGTGAGAGATATCTTTGAGACATTCTTCAAGAATCAGATTGATAACAAGTCCAGCTCCGCTCCTCATAGGAGGAGGTGTGGTGTCTGTGAGATGTGCCAGCAGCCCGACTGTGGCAAGTGCAATGCTTGTGCTGATATGGTCAAGTTTGGCGGAACTGGAAGATCAAAGCAAGCTTGTGTTAACAGAAGGTCAGTCATTGAAATGCATTGAAAATGGACTGCATATGTACCCCTAAATGTACTTGTCCATATATTTGTGTGTCTCTATGCATGTGATAACTTTTTTTTTTCTATTCTTTATCTCTTACCTCTCAGATGCCCTTATATGGCCGTACAGATGGCCGAAGAAGAGGAAGATAACGATCCAGCTGATCCTGACTTGAAGAATGTGGTACGTTAGTGGGTGTGTTCGGAAAATAAACTCTCTTAATGTTTAGAAGACTTGAAGTCTCCATCAAAGAAGATCAAGAAAATAAAGGTACAAGTAAAATATAACTTTATTGTATGAATTTATATAATTATTTGTTACTTGTAGACAAAAGTCGAGTGGATTGGCGAGCCAATTTTTGGAAAAGGAGACAAAAGCTACTACACTGAAGTCCTCATTAACAACAAAGAGAAGGTTAGTAAGGGAGAAAGGGAGATATTTATAGATTATTTATATGCAAAGAGCTTACAAAGAGAAGGTTAATATGCATGTACATGCACAGAGAGTAGAGAAAGGGAGATATTGAGGAGCTTGTTTATATATACACTCATCTCTTTTAGGTCTGCTTATATGATGTGGTGTCAGTCTGTCCAGAAGTGCTCGATGACCCACTCTACCTCACACGCATCATGTCAATGTACGAGGACTCAAATGGAAAGAAAATGTTTCACGAATGGTGGTTTCAGTAAGCATCCAGCAATTATTGTTTTTTATTATTATATTTTTAAAGTCGATCTACTGATACAGTATTAGGTAAGACTGGAGATCCACGTGAGCTGTTTCTTATTGATGATTGCGAGGATAATTCTCTTGGGGCTATCATGGACAAAGTGGAGGTGAGAGAGAGAGGGGGGAAGAGAAGGAGTGACATGATAATGTAATTTATGTATTACTAATTAGGTTGTGTACAAGCCTCCTGTCAGTAACTGGTTTATGTGTGGTGGGGAGGAAGTGCCTGATGGTGAAAAAGAGATTGAGGAAGATGGGAAGACATTTTTTGTTCAGAAATACTATGACCAGTCTTTGGCACATTTTGAAGACATTCCAAGTCAATACATTAGATACCTGATACCAGATGATGCCGACCCACCCACTGATGGTTTCATACCTCGGTGTGCTTCTTGTGAGAGAAGAAATCGCATGAAAACTGTAAATGACACTTAACATGTACATGCATGTAAATGTGTATACATTAATCGGTGCATATAATAATGTTTTTAACTGTTTCTCTTTTAAAGTACATT